TCGTCCCGCTGTCTGTCTGTCCCTATGTATGCTTAGATCTTTAAAACTACGCAACGGATCTTGATGCGGTTTTTTTTATTAGATAGAGTGATTCAAGAGGAAGGTTTATAATCATAATAAATTGCACCCGTGCGAAACCGGGGCGGGTCGCTAGTTGTTAATAAAATGTACTTGTTGTAGTTTGCAATTTCAATTTCGCACTGTTCTCTATGCAGTGACGTCATTTTGTCATTTAGTAACACATGTGTGGGAAAACTATGAATTTATTCGGCTTCTGTGCTGCGGCAGCCATTATCAACGTAAAACAAAGTGTGATTATGACTAAATATAGTTCTGATATGCAAGTTGCAAACGTTTTTAGAGACTACGTTAATTCGTGAGATAATGTCCGGACTATTTTATGCTTAATATATGCTTAGTTTGACAGCGTTTATAATTCGCCGGCTTAAATTCGCACGCCCGTTAACTTTTACGTGCTTAAGTATGAATACAAAGATCATTTACTTCATTCCAGACTGATTTGGAAATTTGTAAGATCACTCTGTGTTACTGACCGTAAACAATTTTAGAATATAAAACGTTACGATGACAAGAACACCTAAGTTATTAAAGTTATTGTGCCATACGCGACTGTTATCTTGCAATAGTTGAGTATTTGCTCAGTAAAATTGTTGATTGTCATTTTGTATTAAAATTTATAACTGCTAATTGGGCGATATTAAAGTATTTGTTAGTTACATTCGCTAGTTTGATAAGAAATATTGTTCCACGACAAAATTAAGCGAATGGACGTTATGTTTCGTTTCTTTGTGTACAATTATTTTTACAGGCTGCATTTAAGCGATTGACAACAAAATTCTTTGACTTTGTGATCGTGTCTGAAATGCGTATTGTTTTCTCATATCCCGCGTTTTCGTAAATCAGCCGATATATGTTTTAATTTATTGGTTATGTAACTTTAAAGCTTAATGTAGCTTCGGTTGATGGCCTAAGTAAGAAGCGGTGTTTTGCATGATCAAGGTTCAATTTCCGTTGAGTCGCAGGTTCGAGGTCCTTCGTCGGTTCGCTATGGAAGAGCAAAGTTGAAGTAATCTCAGGATTTTGAAATGTGCAGTGCCGGATTAACCACGCAGCATGAGTAGCAAATGCATATTTAAACCCATTCAACTCTGCCTGAGCGTAACATTTTGAGTGAAACTTATTAATATGTGGTGTATTGAATTATTTGATGTCACAAAAACTTCGAAGCTACTAAGATAATCCACGTCAGACAATCCGTAACCGAATATTTGCTCTGCATAAATAAAACACCGAATTCATCATACGGTAAACGCACAAATTCTACTAAAAGTTGCTTGTATAAACGTAGAATTTCAGTCGACCCGATAATCAGCTATACAAATTTTTTTTCAATTCTTAGTTTCTTATCAATATTATACTAAATTGACAGGTAATCTCATCTCTGGCTTTTTGTACTTGCCAGAGCCTAGCAGGGCCTATAGTAATCTACTAGATTATTAAATACCCACAAAACTGTGACCTTTAGATGGCACATATTGAGAATTGAACTGTTTTTACCATTTTATGCTTAAGATCCCTTAGCAAATAAAAGGCTCTTTGAAATAATTTATCTATGGGCCCCGCGCTTACCGGCACCGGAAATATGCATTAGCGAATTGTATGTTATGTAATAGTGAATTATTAGTCGAATCATCTTCTGCACTTTGATTCCCCAAGTTTTTACGCAGAGGCGCGGCGCGATAAATCTATTATATCGGTAGTTATGTGGCAACAGATAATGTAATGTGCCAAATAATCTTTCAATGTTAATTTTTTTGCATCAGTTATAAAATTAGAACGCGATGTTTTATTTTAAATTTCACTTTTTTATAAGCGACAGTCGTCCCTCTGATCTTAATTAAAAATTTAAATATAGAACAGTCGTATGAAAACTTTCGCAGATGTAAAGGCTTTTGCGACTTTTGCGAGGTTTAGCCATCAAATACGTAATTTACCCAAAAATAGAATGTATTTGTCATTTCACGAATATTTTATAAAGATTCTTACGTAATCGTAGTTTTTTTATTGCAATTTTTGTAGGCAGAAAAGTTTGTGCCAATTACGAAATGATTCGTTCGTAAATTGTAAATAAATCTTAGAGATATACCATAGCGATTGGCAACTTTTATCTTTACTCCGAAGTTTTTTATAACCAGTCGTCACGTGCGGTCAAATGGCATATGTACTTCTATCGTCGATAATTATCAATGTATTATTATTATTATTATTATTATGCTTTGCATATCGATTTTATGACTTCCAGAAGATGGCTAGCAACACGAGTGATGAGGGCGATGGAATGACATCAAGCTTAAGAGATTAAACGCTTAAGTTAGGTAACGCAAGTTGCAAACCTTCCAAATTTGGATTTACTTTTAAATGACATAATTTTTTTTACACTACTAATTACTGCATTTGAGATGAAATTAAATTTTGTAGAAAATTTGACTTACGTGAGACTGCTCGACATAGCGACTCGGCCAAAACGCCGAAACGCGCGCGCGTTATCAAGAAAAGAACTAAAAAGTTAGACTTTATCTAGCTTAGTGTCAGAGCTATCTGCCGCCTGTGACCTACCTACTCTTTATCGAAAATCGCGTTAATTATTGCCACTGGTGCTCGCAATTATTTGTTGATACCCGTTTCTATTGGCGGCCGGTATTGTTACTTCCAAACTTCGAGGTCGGTTAGCGAATTAAAACCTTCTCCGCTTCACTTCAAGACACTTTTGCATTGTTATTGTGTGTGAGGGCTTGTTTTGGTATAAGGGCGAGCGTTCTTTTTCGTTTGTTGATTTGAGACGGTGTGAGGAGAGAATTTACCTGAGTACACCCGATTTAAATAAATAGTTTTCATTTCCACGGTAGAGCAAAGGTAACCGACATTTCTTAGCGGCTTAGTAAGCTGATGTGGTAAACGGCCGGCCTTATAGCTAGAATAACCGATAACCGGAGGAGAAAGGCTGTCGCGTGGCAGCCACGTACTGGCCATCGTGGTGTAGGCTGTCACTATCTAGATGGAGTGAGGATCTGTGCAAGTGTACGGGAAGTCGGTGGATGCAGGTGGCTCAGGATCGTTCTTCGCGGCAGTCTGTGGGGTAGGCCTATGTTCAGCAGGGGAATCAAACGGGCTGGCAATAATAGCTTCGCGCTAAACGGTCGACGGTGATTGTTGCTAGATTGTTTATTTTTTACTATTTTGTGTTTTATTTCGATCATGACAAGGTACAAGTATTTGTTTGCCCCACATCTGAATATGGGTGTCTTTTTCTAGGAAGGTAGACCTCAGGCAGGTGGCCGTTTGTCTAAGAACTAGCCAGTAACAGCATGATCCACATGTTGCGTTGACCTCACATATGGGATAAAGGCAGGAGAAAGAATTGTACTCATATTCTCATATACTGTATAAAATATAACTAGGTAAAGAAATTATTTCTTATTATTCCCAATGTTATCTATGTTTCTTCTATTATCTTGCCAACTTATAATTTTTCCCCGCATATAATGAAATTCTCCTCATATGAAACTAAGCAGTTACGACCTGGGAACCTTCAAGAAGAGACCATACTCTTTCCTAAAAGGCCGGCAACGCATTTGTAAGCCCTCGGGTGTTGCAGATGTTCATGGGCGGCAGTAATTACTTACCATCAGGTGAGACTCCTGTTCTTTTGCCGCCTTTTTCCCATAAATAAAAATGAAGGCAGCTTGCATAATTTTTGTTTTCTACAACTTAGCGAAACAGATAAGGTCCAGTTGCTATTTTACAAGTTTAAAATAAAAGTTACGTTATATTTCAACTTTAATATTCTTATCTCAGTCATAAGTTTGGTATAATAGATTAAATGAACATTATCAAATTCTGTACCAAACACATTATTTCTTAGTAATGTGCTGTCGAGACACTGATGTATAGAAATATTTCTCTAACATAGAGGGATCTTCGCGACGTCATTTTTCACCGAAATGAATTTTGATGATAGGCCAAAAGGATGAGGGATCTTGCTTCATGGTAGACACTAAAGGTCTGGTGGTGGACCAGTTGGCTTTATCCCACGATCATGGACTCATGACGGCGAAACAATTAAAGATTTTGTCCAAGAATTCGAACATATAATAATAGAAATACGGAATAGTGGATCCTGCACGCAAGAATTTCGAACCTGCGACTCGAGATCGCGGAACGATGCTGCCATCTATTGAACATCTACCGATTTATAACAATCTATTAAAAACTCTTGTTCAAGTTAGCGCTATTAAATGTTTAACCAATGATGTTCCTACTTACCGTAGCGCGTAGCAAGACCTTCTTATTCGACCTCCTTCCTATTCAAATCTGAAAAAGAAAGGAGGGTATAAGCTTTGAAAAGTTAATAAAAAGAAGAACGGTCGCGGAAAACGTATGTATTTTGTAAGGGCCGGTTCCTCCGAGTTTGGTTTAATCTAAAAGTTGATTGAAATGTATATATCATTGCTCCGAAAATCTTTATCTAACTGTTAAGGTTAGTAAAGATTTACCTTTAACCTAATTTTGTAAAGAAACCTGTATTCCTGAGAAATGTATGTGAAAAAAATCAAATGTATGTGAAGTCTGTCGATCCTCTGTGTTTTAGTGTGGCGTACTATGTCCTGAGATTCTTCGTACAGCGTACAGGGGAGGCTCTTGCTCAGCTGTGGGATATATATAGCCTATGTATGTCCAACTGTCACCTTAATTTACTCCTGAATTTATTCAATCTGCGAATATAAACTATATATTTGTAAAATAATTTGTGAAACGAAAATCCGCAAATCTTGTCCACGTGCGCGGATAAATGGCCACGGTTTTAATGCAGACGAAATCTAACAAAGCGCGGAATAGGCATTAACAACCAATAACACAAACGGAACGTAAGCTTTCAGTTTCAGCGGGCCATCAATTTGATTAGAAGTACGGAAACGTCAAACGTTCACGTGGCCGACAATACCTAAGCACATAGGCCGACATCCGGGCGGAAACTCGGGCACATTATATCCGTAAGGTCCACACGAGAGCGGCCGCCCAATAGAGGCGAAGGTCAGCCGTCGTAGCGCCCAATGGATGGCGCCGCTCGTAGCACGGGCCGCGTAGGCTCGTAGCGAAAGTGAAAGCCGACAAATCGCCGACGCCGCGGCCGTGTGCTTGTGAGGCACACGTGGGCGCGTGTGTGCCCCATGAATGGAGTGGAGGCTCTACGGGCCGCGTAGCACCGCTATGTGGTCACGCCTTCGCGTAGAGCGCGTACATAAGCGACAATTGGCAATAGAGCCTTCCTATAGTTGGTATCCGCTACGAAATGATCGCATTCAAAGTTTATGTCATGCTCTCGTGTTATTGTTGTATGCTAATAACAAAAGAATCAGAAAAAAAGTACGGTTATATGTATGCAATTGTTTTTTATTCAACAAAAAACAAATTTCATTATTTTATTGGGGAACACATTGTATCTTGGATAATTGTATTAAATAATGTCAGCATTAATTATTTTGTATTATCGGTTCTACGAGCTGTATGGCCGGCCCATCACATTGTAGGACGACCCCCACTAGATGGATTGACGACCTGAGCAAATGTACGGGAAGTCGATGGATGCAGGTGGCTCAGAATTGTACTTCGTGGCAGTCCGGTGGGTGGCCTGTGTTAAGTAGTGGAATCAAACAGGCCGAAATGATGATGATGACGGTGTTTTTGTACACATAGATTAAAGCTCTGCCATCACATCGCTGTACTTTTACCAACTAAACGTCTTTTTAAGCTATTACTGACCTAGGTACTGTGTCGTCATAACCTTGATACAAATTAGCTATACTTTTACAGCCATTGACTTATCAACCCAATGACTTTTTTAGTCTCATTTGTGATTAAAACATGATAAATGATTAAAATTAAAAACATTAAAACATGATTAAAACATAATTAAAAAAATGATACACCCAATAATATGAAATGAATTGAGATTTATACGGCAATAGTGATTTGAAAGCGTTGATTATAGTCTTAATAGGATATCTTCTGCATTTTTTCAAGTTTACGTTTTTACATCGTATATTCGTATAAACCATCATATGGTAATTAAAGTCACCGTTAACATCGATAAGTGCGCTTAAACGGTGAAAAAATCATTGAAATTTCATTCGAAATTATTTCACTTTTAAGGTTAAAACTTGTATGAATGAAAATAAAGAGAAACTGTAGTATTAGCTAGTTTTAAAACCGCTCAACTCTCTCGGGCGGTAAACCGGGGCCCGTTTAAACTGCGAATAGTCGAGCGATCGACGGTTAATTATGAGGGTTCAGTTGATTTTCGCGCGACCGTTAACCCTATTAGTGAACGTTTTAGTGCCGATGCGCGATCGCCCGTGATATGTCGCCACCCCAATAGCCACATCTCACCCGTGAAAACTTTGATGCTATTTATAAGTTACACGTGTTCGATTTATAACGACTAAAGGCTATTAGGTCAAAGTAAAATGGAAGTATTAAATAATCGTTAAATTACCAGGCTCTCGGATCTTTGCAGCATCTATCCAAGATTTAGCATTAGTCACTATTACTACATAGTATAAAACAAAGTAGTCCCGCTGCCTGTCTGTGCCTACGTATGCTTAGATCTTGATGCGGATCTTGATGCGCTTTTTTTACTGGATAGAGTGATTCAAGAGGAAGGTTTATATGTATAATACATTGCACACGTGCGAAGCTGGGTCGGGTCGCTAGTGTATTAATAATATAATACCCTCATTATAAAGAAGGCTTGTGCCCAGCAGTAGGACATAAATAGACTGCTACTTATTTTGGATCAAACTTATGTGACAAGGTTTGTAACATTTGTCTAAAAAACAACAAAGCTTGTACAGTAAGCATCGACGCATCTTCTGCCAAGATGGGATGAAAAGTGAGGTGTTAATGAAAAACGTTATATCGCAAAGAGTTTAACGATCGGTGCTTCAGAGCGTTGCCCTGCGGCATGCCGTGATCTAGTAAACAAATGTACGCGTACTAATAAAATGCTGTAAATTGTCGGTCTTATCTTGTTTGCATATATTTGAATGTATTGTTTAGATATTATTTCAGTTCAAGATAGTCGAAAAAATTGCTGCAAGTGTTTTTTAACCTGTAAAGAATTTCAAATGAAATACATTTTAATATTTCAATTCAAACCCCACGTCGTCAAATTTATTCTGCACCCAGTAACTCCCTAGGTAGGCTTAAGCAGATAATAACGATATCCTCTGGACTCAAACACGTTTCTAAGAGTCTACTCAGATTGAATCTACTCAAATTCAATGGAACGTTTCGGATGTGTTACAAACATAGTATCGATGATGATATCTGATGGTCTTTTTCAACTGGTGCCAACATAGTTGCCAACAGGTAAAAATAAAGTAGATATATTTCATCAGAAGCTGAGTGCATTCAAACGAAGTATTCGAGACACATAACGGTTTTCTTTTTTTCTTATTTTTACGTTTTAACCGACTTCAAAAGGAGGAGGTTCTCAATTCGACTGTATTTTTTTTATGTTTGTTACCTCAGAACTTTCGACTGGGTGAACAGAGTTTGATGATTCTTTTTTTATTTGAAAGCTGGCGCTTCCCATGTGGTCCCATATTAATTTCATTGGTATTGGATTTTGGAGTCCGGAGATACTTAGGGAACTCCTCAAAATCAACTATAGCATGAATACAGGGCGAGATTTTTGAAGTCAGTCTTGTTTTTCCTTAGTAACAAATTGCTTATATATTTATTTACTTTTCAATAGTTTACAATAGCTTCGTCATTTGTTTTGAAAATTTTATAATTTAATATTGTTTAATGATATCGAAGCATCTAGTGTACATATATATTTTTGGGGGACGGTTTGTATAAGTTGCCCTTATTAAGGTTATTGTTAACATTATTGTACTGTTTGCTGTTTTGTGTACCAAATAAAATAAAATAAATAAATCAAAGAGCCGTGATAGCTCAGTGTTCGGGCGCCCGCCTTTAATTCAATGTATTCGAGCAACCTGAGTTCGATCCCCGGTGTCAGCACCGATGAAAATGTTAATTTTATGTGCTGACTTATCACGAGCTCAGCGGTGAAGTAAAACATTATGAGGAATCCTACACATTACACACGAAATTATAATAAAAAAAATATTTTGAAGATATGTGAAGTCCGCCAATCCGCAGTGGGGCCGCGTGGTGGACTATGCCCTGATATCCTCTGTACAGAGGGGGCCTTTGCCCAGCAGTGGGACAAATATAGGCTGATACTTTAAGTAAATAAAAAAAAGTATATATAATACGTTGATTGGCGGGAAAAATGTCGCTTCTAATAAAATAAAATATGATTCAACTTTACTCGTAGTGTTGAACTCTAATTACGTGAGTGTTTTATTATCGTAGGATATATTACTTCCAAGTATGTGCTATGTGGGGTAATAGATAAAAAAAACTGTGCTCTTCCTTGTACTGAAGGTTTTTGACCCGTCCGTTGCCATCCGATCCCACTAGTCAGAGCGCGCGGTTCTGTCCGTATTTACAAATTTATTCGCTCGGGGCGTCTCGCAATTTCGACGAAGACAATCCGTTTTAGATACTTTTTGGGATGTTACTCTAAAGTTTGCGTTTACGTAAAATGAGATCTTACGACCTTTAAACGTAATGAGTCAGACATGGCTTATGATATTTCACCATGTTCCTAAGCCCCTAATTACCACAGACCATGTGTATGGTATAAAATACAATTGTCTATGCTGTTGACGATATTTCATCGAGGGAATGTGAGTCAGAGGATGCTTTTAGGAGGTGCTCAAAGAAAATCATTCTTGTTTTGAATTTTGTACTGGAATGATAAAAAAGGGAGTAGACAAATTCTAAGCTTAGGATTAAAAGACCATGGGTTAATGGACGCTGCCGTTATTTTGTACACTCAGACGAGTGAACTCTACAATCCTATTGCACGTTTATATGTATATATGAGTTCAACGATACGCGATTAGACATATGGAAAGAGTGTTAAAGTAGACAGGAATGCTAGTCTATGTTTGCTAAACAAATGTTTATACGAAGTATTAAAAACGCGATAAGGTGGGTGCAATAAGTGTAGTGATGTGCCCTCGGTTTATCGACAACTAAACGAAATAACGTTTTTGATGCGAACGCAAATAAAACGCTCAACATGAGAACTCTATTCATATTTTTGGTTCTAAAACCGCATAGTGTTGGTAAAAGGCAGCGTTTATCGATAAATTACATCTTTCGAGCCAAAGCGTCTCACATTGGAGATAGTAAACGGGTTTTGGGTTGCGCGACTCAATTAGTTCTTGTTGCTAAATGTCAAGGTCGCGCGGTCTTATCGACAAATCGATACGCGCGAGACGCGTCACATCACTAACCTAGGGCAGGGCTAGTTATCAAAGTTGCAGGAGATTGCGAATATGAAAATATCAGCGTGCTGATAAGGCGTGCCGAATTATGCTAGATTAAATTTAACAGGACATACTAGATTTCGTTATTTGCCTTTAGAACTAGGACTGTCATGTTCAGTACGACCGTTATTTATACAGTTAAGTAATGGCTCTATGTAATTTGGTCACAAGTAAAAGATATGTAAGAAATATCTTGCCGAGATACTTTACGACATCAAATATTTTTGGTCTCATAGCGAATAATGTCCATGTAATATGATGTACAACATAAAGATATAGTGGTAAATTATAGACACTAAGTCTTCTTTCATTTCCTTATCTAAAATATACTAAGGTCGATTTTAAGAGAATCGTTCAATTTATTTTCGCTTTCGTTTCTGCGGTCATTTCTTCGTACGACTAAAGAATTTTTACTAATCGAATTTAGCTGAACTACTAACACTACTTATAAACTACAATGCGATATGGTATCGCACAGATATAGCAAGCACTTTTATATGTGTACCATAATATTTTTCGACTGATTGTTTGTGGACTAGTGGAGTAGCCATTTCCCGAGCGAGGATATAAAGATAGGTGAGACATTAAATCGAGAGCGAATATTAGAAAAATATTTATAGCCAAAGTATAGCACCCAAAGAAGAGAAATATACGGTTTCGAGTAAAAGGTGTTGACGACCTTCAAAAGGTACTGGTTACCTCACTAATCAAATGGAACGTGTAATTATAAACGCATTATGCCAATCTACCCCAGTTTGGTTACCACAGGCGTGCAACAGTAAGGTGACGTGCGTGACTCTACCACAGAAAAATTTTTGCAGAAAGTATATAAAGGATAGAGTATAAGATGCAGATTTGAAGAATAATTTCCATTCTGGTTTGACACAAGGTTAATCACATCAAGACGTAGTCCAATTTTGAGGATCAGATTTGCATAGTGGATAGTGAGTCTATTACGCAAACGGGTGTAGGTTCGATCCCCACTGCTGAAAGAGTACTGTGTGATGAACGTAATATTTTTAGTGCCTGGGTGTTTATTCATTTCATTTTATTTTATTTGTAAAAGGCCTATCAACAACTATTTACGCTATATCTTAATAATAAAAAAGAAAACAAACAATAAGTACAAGTATAAGTATAACAATAACTTAAAGATAAGCACAGCCAGTACAGTTAAACATCATAACAATAAATATAAAACTAATACTATAAATAATGAAATAGTAAAAAAATAAATAAAAACGTGGCTTAAAATACACAGCTGTAAAATAAATTAAATTAAATTATGGCTTGCTCGGTATGTTTATACATAAGGTAAACGTATATTCAAATTTTAGAAAGTGAGGTAAGTACGGTGATACATTATTTTAGAGACTTTGGCTATTGAGTCAACATGAATATCAATTCATGTTTAATATGTATATATTTACAAAAAGTATGTGTAAGCATGTCTATCAGTTACCTAGTGAATAGTGCCAATCCGCAGTGGTGTCGCGTGGTGGACTGTGCCATAATACCCACTATACAGGGCTGGTCTTTGCCCAGCAGTGGGACATATAGAGGCTCTTACTTTACTTCACTTTTAACGTCGTGGAAAGTTGTGTTAGGAAAAATTTGTTTATTTCAATAGGGACCAAGGACCGAAATTCGGATTGATTGTGTCGGTGTTGATATTTCAGTTTGCGAAGCTGCCGGCGGCACGTCAAAGTCGGCAGTTACCTTCGCGCCAAAGTGACGCATCGACGCATTCCCCACAGTTTGTTGGGCATTTAGTTGTCTCACATGACGCCTAGGTATGTACGCGGCTGCGTTGTTTACGGCCGGCGACCGGACGGCTAAGCGACGGATAAAAAAACACACAAGCAAACCTCGCTCGCCTCGACTGCAAGAGTAGAGCTGTTAACTCTACTATCGGAATGATGACAATAAATGGAAGCAACGACGTCGTTCTATTATTCGGGTCTGTTTCAAGAACCTGTGAATCTATTTGTCTATGCAGGTTCGTAATTGGTACAAAAAGAAAAGATACTAATGTTTAATTATTACTTGTATAAATAAACATATTAAGCTAACAGCATAAAAACTGTGTATAAATTTTATTAACCTCCGACGTAAAACCAGGGGTGTTACAAATTTGACGCGTCTGTCTGTGTATCTGTGTGTCTCGCTATCTGTGGCACCGAAGCTTGAATGGCCCATATATGGAGCGGTTTTTTTTGTTTGGAAGCTGACGTGATCGAGGTGGTTGTTAGCTATAATCAAATTAAACTGTCTAAATTTTGCATTATTTTTGTTTATTTTGTATAAATTTAGTAGCGAAGTACCTTTACATGTTCTCGTAGAGTTTACATCGTAGGCACTTTATACTAAAGATCAAGACTTTTACACATTCTGTGAAAGTCAGAGGTCCCATGTATGCCCCAGTATATCAAACATTTCGCTTCCACACTCCAATTCTAACCAATCGTAATAAATTTCTGATAAAGGAAGCGTATAATCGAGATTCTTACGAACTGTTGAATTTTTTGGAAATTACAATTGGGACTTGAATGTTTTTAATCCAGTTGTAAGACATATGACATTCGAAAGTTCTTTAAAAATTCTCAAAACTTACTTTCGAGGTATACTTCAGCAGCACATTGGATTAAAAAAAGCTACTGAGCGGTCAAATATAATATCTAATTCTTTATACGGTTTTATTATTTGAAAGTATGCCGGATCTATAATAAGGTGAAGAGGTTAGTGGTAATGGTTCTACCAAAAACCTCATCAGAGTCTTCGCTGTTGCACGAATGGGCAGGTCCGTCCGAGGAAGTACCACGACCTCACAGAAAGCCGGCGTGTAGCTGAAGTATTATACTTCTACGTATCGTCTGGTGAATGAGGTAGCCGGAGCCACTTTATTAAAAGGTGGCAATGCATGCAACCCTACGAGTGTTGCAAATTTCCATGAACGGCGGTTATCACTTATCATCAGGTGAACCGCCAGCTTGCTTGCCATCTTCTCACATTAAAAAAAAAGAAGACAATGAATTACTGACAATGAATCCAGTACCATACTGCAGCTTGTAAAATTGACGCCTCAGCTACCGTCCAGTCATTGTTAAGAAACAGAGGAATCGCTGACGCCGCCGTTGGTCGTGACCATTCATTAGATGACTCCAGCCACGTCCGATCATTGTGACAGGCGAAAAGTCATGAGCAATCGTTGCCGCTTCCGAAAATCGATGCACGTCGAAACACGGTACGGTGGGCGACGCATGAGCACATAGCCAATGGGAGGCCGACACGCGTTTCCAGAGCCTGTGTCTGAAGCAATAGTGGCGATATTCGGCTGCGCGCTACGATCTTCGTTTCTCACGCTGACGGCCGTACGAATATAATGGATTGTGCAAACGCGGCATTCCGATTATTTTGTTGGTTAACTTTAACCGTACGGGGAAATCGACGAGTCCGCGGTTCTCTTTGGCCCGCTTTGTTTTTACGAGTTGCAATCGAGTGTCTTGTTAATTCGACCATCAACATCTGGTGTCCGGGCTTGATTGGGCTTTCGGGGTGTTCCTGATAGATTAATATCACCTGTATCAAAATCCGCATAGTAAGATCGTTTAATTAGCTAGTAACTAGCTGATCCGGCAAACGATGTTTAGTGGAATTTCGTAAAATCCCTTCTTAGCAGACCTCTATTCGGCAGGAATATTCCTACAAATTTTCAAGTCTCTACGCCTTATGGTTCCAGAGATATCATGATGAGTCAATTATCGGTGCAAACCTTTTATACATATAAATGATATTCTATAGGTTACCCTAGCCGAGGTACATTACTCTTCATTTAGATACCTATATTCTAACTGTGGTAGGGCCACGTAGCAATTTCTACTGTTACACGTATGGGCAGTATCGTCCAGGGAAATACCACGACCTGACAGACGTCCACCTTGAGGTGACGATACTATACCTTCACGTTTCGTCTGTTGAGTGAGGTAGTGCGGGCTCACTTATTAAAAGGTTGTCAACGCATCTACAAATCCCCGAGTGTTGCAGCTGTCCATAGGCAGCGTTCACTTAACATGACGTGAACCGCCTGCTCGCCTGACAACTTTTTCCGTAAATAAAATATTGAAGTTAAAACTATTTCAATACTTAAGAATTGGTTTTACTTAGCTTTTGATGTAACGCAATATCCACATGGTTTTGTCTACTAATTGTACCATCATAAATTGCACCTTGTGTAATGGCAAATAAATAAATAAATACTCCATCGGTTTAGAAAAAATGGGACGTCGAAAACGAAAATACGAAATAAACAAAGCGAAGAAGGATTCAATTTAAGCGGCGATAGCAAATTCGTAAAAAAACCTAGGCAACATGAACATACCGAGAGAATAAAAAAAAACAGGATACGAGGTTGTTTATTACTCAGCGCGTGTGTGTGTGTGTACGGCATGACGTTTCGACAATGTTAATTCCTTTAACGCTTGCATCGGGCGTTTACTGGAAACGCGCGCGAAATACTAGCGTAGCCGTAACTAGAAGCGTCGCGCGGGTGGTCCGTTCTGCCAAAGACACCTCGTCACTTCCGAGGGGATCACGTGGCCTTCCCCGGTAAGGAGTCGCTACCGGGGATCCCCGGCTGATTTGCCAGTAGACTAGCTCGCTTTCACAGTTCAGTGAAGGTCGAAGACCTGGTTTAAAAGACCCAAATTGCCACTACTGAAGAATGATGCTGGAAATCGACAAGGACTAACCGCCATAGTGTCATATGGGGTTAGGTTAGTGGTCATCGGTGAGGTGACTGTATGGGCTTCTCCTGAATAAAGTTGTTTGTGACCTGGGGCGGGATACGGGATGGAGCCGAAACGCGTCTGTTCCAAGAGCAAAATATGTTCGGTGAAATCCCCAATCAATTAAATGTAAATAATTTCGGACATTTTGTAAAAGCTACATTAATGAAATATTTTGAGGACAAGGATATGTGGAAATGGCTTTTGCTCTGCACTTTCAAGTCACCTGACTTCTGCTAATTTTATACTAAAATACTTTTGTGTATATCTTTAATGATTCATTGAAAAAAAAAAAAAAAAGATAAGTAAAGAGTTTATTGCCGGTTCTTCTCTGGCAGTTCTAGTTTAGTAAACTGGTGGTAGTTTTTGACGTTCAATCAGAGCTTGGAATAAGCCAATGTTTAGTAAAGAAATTTTGACTGACTTTGATTTAACCGTGTCCCCACTTGTCCGTGGATTTTAAAACAGTTTTCCGTCAAAGTTCTGCAATTAATTTGTCAATGTTAAAATTTTTAGAAAAAGTACGAAAAGATTGTCGCTGCTGTGGGAATTGAACCGGTTTTCGCGGTCTGACGCTTTAGCCACTAAGCTAAACGGCTGATTGCCACACCGACGAAAATCTTAACGTCTTTTATCTACATTGTTTTTTACCAATTGAAGCAATGCTTGACGCATCCATTGTTATATCCTTTCCAGCATACAAACAATATTGTTGTTCTTTACCGAGCGATATATAAATTAAACGAACGATTGATAATTTAATTCGTTCCCGGATTTCAACTTGTGACCTTTTAATGTTTGAAATGCGAGAGCGCAGCCACTGAGCCACCACGGTCTTTGCACAGAGTTTGTTCGATAAAATTCCGAACATAAGTACATTAGCGAGAGTGCAGATAGTATTTTCCAAAATATTGTTGACAATCAATTCGACGACCCGAATGGCGTGGTAGTGTACCTGCCTCATACGCCAGAGGGTGTAGGTTCGATCCCCACTACTGGAAAAATATTGTGTGATGAACATATTTTTTTTTCTAGTGTCTGGGTGTTTATATATGTACAATATGCATTTATTTACAAAAGAAAAGTATATTTAAGTATGTTTATCAGTTATCTAGTACCCATAGTACAAGCGTTGCTTAGTTTGGGACTACAGAATGTTGTGTAAAATGCGTCCTAAAATATTTATTTATTTATAATTAGGAAGTCCTTTGGCTTAAATAAGTCAGGCCCTGCAATCGACATCCCGCCACTTCAACATTCACCCACATTTCCAAATATCGAAGTGTGCAGAGTTTCCAATATTGAATTTTAATATTTCACAAACAGAACTTACACTAGCGTTATCGCCAACTAATCATAGAAATATAACTTGGGAAACCCGAAACAAAAGAAATTGCCGAAACCGTGGAAATTCATCGGTTAGATATTAAATTAATGTTTAAGTCGTCATTATTGGTATTATCTCAGGCGATCCCGATTGTAGGTAAAAGCGTCACCTCTTTCCGGTTTCAATTAGCGACGTGTTCCGACTTAGTAGGTAGTTTCGGTTGCTGCAAAAATAAATTAATAATACTGAATACTTAACTAATGATATTGTTAATTCGTAGTTATTCTAACGCTCCACTATCAGGGCCCGTAATGCCTAAGCGAATTTTCCTTAAAAAAACGCGGCTGTACAATCGGCTGCATTGGCAGTAGAACATTCAATTAGTCATAATTTAATATACCATTTGATTGACACCAATATTCGTATAGCATATAGGAGTAGGAATACGGTTAAGGGAAATTCTGATATAAATTAGAGCCTAATATAATTAATTGACGCGTGATAATTATTATTCCATGCATAAACGATACCTAAATCCGTGTAAAATACAGAAAATTATAAGAAGATATTAGGAGGAACATTTAAAATTAATTATAATTATTATTTTATACAACAACGAAAAGGCGCGTAACAATTACTGCCATTCGCAATGTCAGCTTTTGCAATTATATTTTAAAGATATACTCGTTACATATTGTGCACTATAATTGAGATTTGAAGACCTGTAAGTATAAAAGCTTACCTCGTGTGCAAGAAAGACGCTGTCACGCAACTCAAGAAAATTGTGATTAAATAAATTATATTATTTATATATAAAAATAATTATATACACTAGCACAGGTATAATACATTGTAAAGAAATATGGGGGAAGTCGAAGGATGCAGATGGATTATGCTTCATGGCAATCTTTGGAGGAGGCCTATGGTTAGCAGGCTGAAGAAGCAGGCATTTTTTATGTGATAAAGTGGCAAACCAGCTAGCGGTTCACCTGATGTTAAGTGCTAACCTCCGTCCATGGACATTTGCAACACCTTTTAATAATATAGGCCCCGGCTACCTCACTCACCAGACGAAACGCAGAAGTGTAACACTTCTACTTTACGCGGGTCTTCCGTGAGGTCGTGGTACTTACCCGGAAGGACCTGCCCATTCGTGCAACAGCGAGCACTGTTGCGTGGTCCTACTACATTTTTCGTTTAGTATTTTCAATATTATATAAAAAATTGGCTGTTGCAACGTTTGTGCTAGACTGTACTAGCCCTATCGCCGCCAGACTAGACGTAACAGGATGCTATGCGAATAAAGATCAAGTAGTGGGGAGCGTGCAGCGCCCACGCCGAAATCACTTATTAAAATTCACTCGTAATTACCTCAACGCATTGCAATTATTTTAATTGTGCGATAAGCTAACTCGCGTACTAAGTCTAGTTGATCCTCGATGAACATTAAACACAACAATGAAATTTAAACACGATAAATTCAGTATCAAAATTTATTCAAAATGATAGCATAGCATTAAGGGACCACTTTCATAGATCCAAAACGGTGACAAAACGAGAGTAGTAGGTCTACTTTATTGTGAACATACGTTCAGGTAACAGTTTAGGGTGAAGAGTTTAGCAGTGAACGTGGCGAATAGTGCCTGTCAACAACCCATCTTTGTTACAAGCAATGTTACCGATTTAGTGTTGTGCCTAATGAGAGGCACCAGGCTCTCTTTACATCAGGACTAATATATCCATAGATAATAGAATTTACCTCTGTCCACCGCATCTAGGATTAAAACGTTGGAACTTGCATAGTATACTCGTAAATCTAGCCCAGTCTGTATACAAGCAACTTCATCTCTACACTGAGAACTGTGGCCAGCTATATTTATATTTATGAAATAAATCTATGTTGTTTTCCATTAATAACTCAATATGTTTTAAGACGGGGTACCTTGTTGGTTCTTTTGAGACCAGCTCCAAATTTGTGGACGATTAGCCTGTTTTTTGACGTTAACGACTTTTAAATTATAACTACGGGTATTATATGCATTTGACATTACGGATGTAGTGCCCCAATAGTTGTTCGTAAGGTTGGGGCTTTGAACATTTGTTTGAATATTTGGTTTTGCTATCTTTATGCATATATAATACGAGCAAAATTGAAAAGGATGGGAGGCAAGAGAAGTACGTCAAGATCGAATGAATCTTCTTGTCTCTACATATAGTCTAGTCTACAGATGATGGTCTACTATATCGTTTTTTGATTAAG